AACTCACGGTATTTGCACATAATACTTTTTCAGTGCAAAAGCTCCAACCAATATGAAAAAATAAGAAACAGTTTAGAAGTGAAAAATGATTTCCAAACCTGCTTCTCTAAAATGCGGGAGATTCTCTTCCAAGAGTCGATCGTGGGCGGAACACTCGCTGCTTGCACCACGGCCCGCTGTCCTGGAACCTGCAGCTGCTCCTGGTGGCCCGGACCAACCGCTGCAGCATGCACACATGCCCACATCATGCGTCCGTCACAGACCTCTACAGAGTTTGGTAGAGTCTCATTTATTTCTCAGGATGTGATTCTAAACCTATAGAAAAACAAGCAGCTCATGGAAAAGTTCATTACATCAGTCTCCAAATGGAATTTTAAAATCCATAAAGATGTTTTATTTTATTTGCACAAATGGTCGTATGGAATAGACGTATGATCCAAAGGTTTTCAGAACATTGCCTTACTTTGCCTTGTAGGAGTGTCTAGGGAACTGTGCCTTTGCCTTTGCCTCCTGTTAACGTCTCGTATTCCTTGGCCTGGCAGAAAAACAGTCAGTCAGTGCAAGCCGCAGCCGTATGTAAAATAAGTGCAGTTTAGTCTATTTATTTGGCCTGTCTGTCAAACATTCCCGTTAACCTGGCTCCAAATAATCACGCACAGATCAGTAAAAATCATGTTTGTTCTGACTCTTGTCATACCACAAAGCGACTTAACCAAAACCCTCCGTCTGCAAGTCACAATTAGCCACAAGGGGATTCAAATTCTTTATAACTTGCTCAATGTTAAATAACAGTTTAAGAGGGTAGTATGCCCAAGTGGCACCTTGGTCTGGGTCATGGACATTCCCAGACACGATAAAAAAAAAAAAAAAACTATTGATCCACAGAACATTCCAGTTATCCATTCCACACTGATGAAATCACAGTTCCTGGGAAAAGTGCAGGTGAAGGACTTAATCTAATAGTAGTAATTAGTCTAAGCTGGAGGATGCCTTTGGGTTTGTCTGGAGGGCAGTGTTACTGGTCTTTTAGATATGTAAGATGTCACAGTTCTCCACTTTCATTTAAAGGGACAACAATCTTAGGAAATAAAGTTTTAAGCTTTGAACAAATATGATCTCATCTCTTGTATTCACTGGAAAGTATCAGAGCAAATACGTTTGTTTTAGTGTTATTACTCAATTCTTCAGTTTAATCTTCAGTCAACAATCAAATGACACATGATCACTGTAGCACTTGTCTAATAGGGATTTCTACTCTCTTTGTAAATTGTATAGTTTTTTTCTTAAATTGTTGCTACACGGTGGATTCACAGCAGTTCGCTTTCTGACACAAATGGGCACAAACATATATTTATTATTTATCTTCTGATCTGTTGCACGTCGGCACTGGAAAACAATGGAAACAAAGCTGCAGTTTTGATACAGAAGTAAGTGACTGTTATTTCACGTAAAGGCGTCTTCTATAACGAGGGAGTTGACAGTCACTTTGATCCTAACAGTCGTAAGATCAAATCTAACCTGGAGTTCATTCGAGTGCGCAGTTTCTATGGCCTCTTACGAGCTTCTGCCGCTCCTCGGTGTCCTTTGGGCTCTCAGCGACCACGGAGCTGTCAGTCACTATGTCCACAATGTACTTTTTTAAAAGATCGAATGCTCCTAAAACAGAAGAAAAGGACAGATATTGACCTGGACTAAATCATTACTAATTATTTTTTAAACATAACAACTGCACGATTGGATCGATTGCGTCACTATAGATGTAGCCGTAGCAGTCATTTCCATTTCAGTGTTCCTCTCACCATGTTTTTATTTGGATGGGGCAGTGTGTATAATGAACCAGCAGCAAAATGCACCAGATGGAATCTTTTTTGGAACACTTTTCTGAGTCAGGCTGAGACATCTTTTTACTGATTACCCCTGACCACAGCCTGAACCCTCTTCAACATTGCCCTAATGAAGGCCAGTTGCTGCAACAATGTGGTAGTGTCCATGCCTTTAATCAAGGACTTTTATTTGAGTGCCTTGGATCCTATTTCATTGCTACAATCTCTGGAGGCATACTTTAGCATGACAATAGAATAAAATCTCTAACTTACTAGAGTGGATTATAATAACGTAAAAAGCGGAGAATGGACCACATTCCGCTGGTGTTACCATTAGCCGCTAGGCCGTCTTCCCGCCCAAAATACAAATCCTCAATTGTGGACTCACCACTTCTCGTCAGACAGTTCGCCCTGAATGGCTGCTGCTGTCCCGCACCGGCCTGCTGGTGCTGCTTGCCTTTGGTGGTGGCTGATCAGGTGCACCTCGGATGTGATCTGACGCCACAAAAAACAAATGAGAAATGCTCAACAGAGTCCACAGGATGCAAACACCGGTTATCCCGTGACTAAGGAACCTTGTTGATGGTATTTTAATCATATGCACTGTAATAAAAGGCTTCATACAACAATAGTGCACCTTCAAGTCTATATAAGAAAACTATCTACATGTCTATATATCCCATACCTATGGACCAATGTCTCATGAGTTTTTCAGTATTACTTTGCCTGCGTTTCTGTTCTTGCCTCTAATTTCTACAAAATTGTCACTTTTTCCATTAAACAGATTATGTTGTTGTACACGTCACTTAAGTTAAATGTATTTTTGTAGAGCCCCAAAATCACAAGAATACATGTATTTCTAGCATTATTTTACAGAACTAAGCAATTTTAGATGATTCCTAAGGCTTTGACCCAATATGTTCTAGAAAGGACCAGGACCATTGGCTAGTTACATCATAAACATCTAAAAAAATCAAATTTGAATAAGCAAAAATGAGAAAAAACTCGCAGTAGATCCCCGAAGGGATTTTGAATTTGAAAAACATGTAAATTTTTGTGCTAACTCCCTTTTCTCACCGCACTCTCCTATTGGCGACTTGCTTTATGCTTAGAAATTCTATAGTATATGGAGGTATTCGGTTGTTGTGCCCCCCCCCCCCCCCCCCCCCCCCCCCCCCCCCCCCCACCCCCCCCCCCCCCCTGGCGTCGACTGTTTTTTCCCCTGAGGCTCTGGCGGCATTGCGTCTTTCCTCTGCTCGATTGGCTCCATGTGTCTTCTGCGTTGCTTTCATCGTGCTACAAAGGAAACAAAAAAAAGCACAAGCTTCATGTTTTGTCCCCCCTCCACCAACCCTTACCCCTCCCCTCCCCCCCCACCCACCCCCTCCCCCGCGCCCCTTTATATATGTAATTTGTGAACGTGAAATGAAGAAAAAGTGAGTCAAAAATACCTTCATTCTGAATCTTCTTCATGCGCTCCGCACGATGGCCTCCGTTGAGCCGCACTCTGAGAGCTGCCAGACGTTCCTCTCGATATCGATTCATGGACAAACATTTCTATAATTTACTTTTGCTCTATAACAAGTAAATAACAAGCATTTCACTGGTTTATATGTTACAATCCGGTAATAATTATGTTACATTATCATACATGGAGATCATTTGTTCTCAAGTAGATAAGACCAAGGAGTTGTTAACTTTCATTTGGTTTTGCTGTATTGTGTTTTAAATTGGTAGTGTGTATGAATAATATGTATTATTATAATTTAGTTAGTTTTTAATCACTGCAGCTCATAATTATTGATTCTTTGGTGAACTAAATTGGTTAAGTATATATGAATGTGTTGAACCCAGAAAGTCTTCAGCACCAGGTAGAAATTGTCATCTTCTGGGGTGCTTGTCTCTGCCTGTAAACCTTCAAGCCCATCATGTCCACTGCATATGAAATGTATATGTACTGTATATGAACTGTATATGTACTGTATATGAAACTGTATATGAACTGCATATGTACTGCTTATGTACTGCATTATGTCGCTGTATATGATTTATGCATTTGTATGCATATGAATTGTATATGTACTGGATGATGTTACTGTTATTCCTGAATGTATATGTACTGTAGATAAAATGTTATATGGTACTGCATATGAACTGTTTATGGTACCTGTATATGTACTGTATTATGAACTCTGTATATAAAAAACTTGTATATGAATCTGTCTATGTACTGGTAGATTATAAACAGTATGATGTACTGCATATGTGTACTGTTATCGCACTGCATATGTACTGCACTATGTACTGTATATACACTGCATATGATACTTGCATAATGTACTGTATATACACTGCATATGTACTGCATATGTACTGTATATACACTGCATATGGTACTGCATATGTACTGTTACAATCTTTCCTCGGCTTTAGCTGGACGACAGTAGCGTTGGTGAAGTCAGATCCTGGCTCTCTCTCTGGCTGCGTCCTCTCTGGCCCTCTCCTTCTCTGCCGCTGCAGTTCTATGTATATATACTGTAATATGTACTGTTTATTATATATATGATGAAGTCGCAGACCTGGCTCTCTCTCTGGCTGCGTCCTCTCTGGCCCTCTCTCTTCCTGCCGCTGCAGTTCTATGTATATATACTGTATATATACTGTATATATATATGTGAAGTCAGACCTGGCTCTCTCTCTGGCTGCGTCCTCTCTGGCCCTCTCCATTCTCCTGCCGCTGCAGTTGCTATGCGCGCCTCCTGCTCCTTCCTCTTGGTGAGCAGCTCCTCGACACGCGCCTGCCGCTCCGTCCTCCAGGGACACGCTTTCTCTCCTGCAAAACGGACACCTGGATTACACACTCTCCTCCTCAAGCCCGAGGTCTGGATGGGGTCACGATGGGGTCACGATGGGGTCACGATGGGGTCTGGACGGGGTCACGATGGGGTCACGATGGGTCACGAAGGTTGGGGTCACGGTCAGATGGGGTCACGATGGGTGGTTCACGACGGGGGTCTGGACGGGGTCACGATGGGGTCTGGATGGGGTCTGGATGGGTCACGATGGGGGTCACGATGGGGTCACGATGGGGTCACGATGGGGTCACGATGGGGTCACGATGGGGTCTGGATGGGGTCACGATGGGGTCACGATGGGGTGTCTACGATGGGGTCACGATGGGGTCACGATGGGGTCACGATGGTTGGTCACGATGGGGTCACGATGGGGTCACGATGGGGTCACGGATGGGTCACGATGGGGTCTGGATTGGGGGTCACGAGTGGGGTCACCGATGGGGTCCGATGGGGCACGATGGGGTTGGATGGGGTCTGGACGGGGTCTGGACGGGGTCTACGATGGGGTCTGGATGGGGTCACGCTAATGGGGTCTCGATGGGGTCACAATGGAGGTCTGGATGGGGTACGATGGGGTCTGGATGGGTCTGGATGGGTCTGGATGGGGTCTGGATGGGGTCACGGAGGGGTCACGATGGGGTCACGATGGGGTCCACGATGGGTCACGATGGGGTCTGGATGGGGGTCTGGATGGGGTCTGGATGGGGTCACGATGGGGTCACGATGGGGTCATGGGATCACGATGGGGTCTGGTGATGGGGTCTGGATGGGGTCACGATGGTGGGGTCTGGGATGGGGTCACGATGGGGTCACGATGGGGTCACGATGGGGTCACGATGGGGTTCTGGATGGGGTCTGATGGGGTCACGATGGGGTCACGATGGGGTCTGATGGGGTCACGATGGGATCACGATGGGGTCACGATGGGGTCACGATGGGGTCACGATGGGGTCACGATGGGGTCTGGATGGGGTCTGGATGGGGTCTGGATGGGGTCTGGATGGGGTCACGATGGGGTCACGATGGGGTCACGATGGGGGTCTGGATGGGGGTCACGATGGGGTCACGATGGGGTCACGATGGGGTCACGATGGGGTCACGATGGGTCACGATGGGGTCACGATGGGGTCTGGATGGGGTCACGATGGGGTCACGATGGGGTCTGGATGGGGTCTGGATGGGGTCTGGATGGGGTCACGATGGGGTCTGGATGGGGTCTGGATGGGGTCACCTGCACGGCCTCGTCGCGGGCCTGTTTTCTCCTCCTGTCTCCTCTGTCGTTCTTCTTGGAGCTCGTTCAGCCGCTGTTCGTACTCGTTCAGTTTGGCCAAAGCGTCGTGCCTCTTGTTCTGAGCCTCGAGAGTGTTGATGAAGGCTATTTCATTCACCTGAACAGAACCACAGACAAGGATTCATGGATATATACACGTTTTATAAATTAATTAAGAGATAATGTATTTGTCCCACAGTAGGAATGAGGAGCACACAGCAAAGATAAGTGAACAATGCCTCTATACTGAAAAAAAAATAATAGAATCTTTAGCTTGAGCATAGTAAAAGAAATAAGTAGAACATCTCGGTAATGCTCGCTTTATAATAACTACACCTTATATTAGGTCTAATACATTTTGAAATAACACTTAATCATGAGCAAATCAGTAATTAAGTGTGACCAACGCTTAATAACTACTTAACCTTTACCCTGTGTGAGCCCTTTACGTGATGCAGATGAGTCAGGCCTCTCCTTATGGACCCAAACATGTGGGTTTTCAGAGCGGATAAAAAAGCCTTTACGGAGCCTATATTTTAAGGCGTTTAATTTATCTTAGGAGCACTTCGAGCCTTTAGTCTAAGCCTTTACGTGAGCCTCCTAAGATATTACTACGCTCACAAAGTAGTTAAGTAGATTTTACAAGTAGTTAAGTAGATTGGTCACTCTTAACTAATGAATTGTTCATGATTAATTAAGTGTTACTTCAACATTTATTAAGCCTAAATAAGGTGTAGTTATTATAAAGTGTTGCCAAAATCTCATACTTGCTTCTTTATTATGCTAAAGTTAAAGATACTGGTGCAAGAAATGTGAAGTCTGTACATGTTAGCGACAAAGTGAAGTCAGAATGAACACATGTGGTTTTATATTGCTAATAATATATAATTTGTTAGATGATGATTATTTGTTTAAAGATCTTTGCCTCTGTATAACCAACTAAACACTGAAAAAGCTCATTATTTAGATTGCTTCATAAGAGCAAAACATCATGATTACTCTTCCGTGTTGAAAAAGGGAATCCTGTACCTTTGCTTCCTCTTCTTGGGCCTTTTTGACAATAGCTTGTAGCTGCACCTCTCTCTTCAACTCCGCATGAAGCAGCTTTTCTTCCATCATTTTCCGACGTTGCTCCAACAGCTCCTCCTTCCATTTCCTCACGTCTTTCTCCTAAAACAACACATTGAAAAAGGTGTCTGTTGAATGTAAATTCTGCAAAATGGTGAAATTAGGGATCGAATCTTTGCCAGGAATAAAGCAGGACTTGGGGAAATTAAAAATCCAGCCGTCAAGAACAACTTCAACAGCGGAAACTTGGATTTATATAACATTAATTTGATTTGTTTTCTCCCTCAAGGTCTGAAATGAAACGTCTCTGTTGAAAGGTGAGGAATTATACTCTCAATATTGTGCCATTGAGCCAATACAAATAATCAAAACCATCTAGTTGTATTTGTAGAGCGCCTTTCCTACACAAGGCAACACAAAGCACCTCACAACCCATATACAATACAACTAACTCATCGACTGCCATTGACGTATTTGTCTGAGACCCTCTATTCGACTGGGGATCACAGGACAACAAAAATAGCTGGAAACAAACTTCTTTTTGCCGATGAAAGTAGACAGTCCAGTCTATCAGAATCTGGTTTCATATTTCACATAGTCTTAGCACGTAATATTCCATGGGTCTTGGGAATCAGTGAAATCATCAAAAACGGCAGCAGTCAATGAGTTAAAGAATCTCAGGACAAAAGATGGGAATGAACCTTTGCAATAATCTGTGTTTACATTCACGTTTTATCAACTTTAATAAGCATTTAACCGAGGAATAACCATGTTTGAGTAATCCTCCAACATTGAAATACTTAGTACCAATGTCTGTTTTGACTAACCCCCTCACATTCTCAATTCTAACTATTTAAACTAAATCATACATATTGCTCTTTCGGATCATTTCTGTGTTTTTTTTGACATGTGTTTCACTAACAAACCACCAGTGGACTCTGCAACTGTTCGAAGAAGGCGCATAAATGAAAATACGAGTGAACTATTTATGGAAATGATAAACTTTGAGAATGCATCGTATTCTACTGTAGATGAACTGTTTAACTCTGTCACCTCTAGTGTTTTGAATGTTCTGGATACAGTTGCCCCTGTGAAGGTTAAAATAGTGAAAAATAAGCAGAAGGCGCCGTGGGCTAAAGCAGACTCGGTCAGGGCACAAAAGAGAAAGTGCCGGAGGGCGGAGCGGAAGTGGTGCAAGTCCAACCTCCAGGTAGATTACGAGATCTTCAAAGATAAGTTGTGCGAGTTTAACCGGGTGCTACGTAGTACGAGAGAAAGGTATTTTTCTGAAATGATTGAAGGCTGCAGCAACAATCTGCGTGTTCTGTTCTCAACAGTTAATAGATTAACAAACCCCCCTGTTCAAATGCCATTAGAGCTTACTTCCAAACGTAAATGCAATGAGTTTGCTAATTTTTTCAATGACAAGGTTCAAGGCATCAAAAACGCCATTGTCTCCAATCCACAGATAACCATCCAACAGCCAGAAAGGCTCTCTGAGCTAACTCACTTTGCACCTGTAAATGATAAAACTGTCCAAGAGATAATCTCCAGTTTGAGCTCCTCCACATGCAGCCTGGATGTACTACCCACTAGATTTCTGAAGTCTGTTCTGAGCAGTCTGTTACCTTCACTCACACAGATAGTAAACATGTCCCTTCATTCTGGAATATTCCCAAAGGCCCTGAAAAACTGCAGTCATCAGGCCCCTGCTAAAAAAGAGCAGTCTGGATGCTACTGTACTTAACAACTATCGTCCCATCTCAAATCTGCCATTTATGGGGAAAGTCCTTGAGAAAGTTGTCTACCTACAGCTTACTAGATTTCTTATAATCAACAACTCATTTGATATGTTTCAGTCTGGCTTTAGACCCCACCACAGCACTGAGACTGCTCTCGTTAAGGTTACAAACGATATCCGGCTGAACACTGACGCAGGCAAAGTCTCAATCTTAATCTTGTTAGATCTAAGTGCTGCCTTTGACACCGTCGACCATGAGATCCTCTTACAGAGACTAGAGGACTGGGTTGGCGTCACTGGCACCGCCCTAAGTTGGTTTAGGTCTTACCTTGAAGACAGGAAGTACTTTGTGGAGATTGGAAACTGTGTCTCAGATCATATGGCCCTGACCTGTGGAGTCCCACAGGGGTCGATCCTGGGACCTCTTCTGTTCAATCTCTACATGCTGCCGTTAGGTCAGTTAATACGCAGAAACAAAGTGTCCTATCATAACTATGCAGACGACACTCAGATCTATGTCTCACTGACTGCAGGAGAACATGGACCAGTGGACTCACTCCTTCACTGTATCCAACAGATCAGTGAGTGGATGCAAAACAACTTCCTTCAGCTAAACGCAGACAAAACTGAAATGATTGTCTTTGGTCCCCAGAAACAAAGAGAGAGCGTCATCTGTCACCTACAGTCTCTCTCCCTAAAACCTTCAAACAAGGTCAGAAATCTAGGGGTAATACTGGACTCAGACTTAAATTTTAATAGCCACATCAAATCAGTAACATCAGCAGCTTTTTACCATCTAAAAAACATTGCCAGGATCAAAAACATAGTGTCTAAAGCAGACTTGGAGATTCTTATCCATGCATTTGTCTCCAGTAGGTTAGACTACTGCAATGGCCTGCTCACAGGTCTGTCCAAACAGGCTGTAAAACAGCTGCAGTACATTCAAAATGCAGCAGCTCGAGTCCTGACTAGAACCAGGAAGTACGATCACATTAGTCCTGACTAGAACCAGGAAGTACGACCATATTAGTCCTGACTAGAACCAGGAAGTACGACCACATTAGTCCAGTCCTCAGGTCTCTGCACTGGCTTCTTGTGGCTCAGAGAATAGACTTTAAAACAGCTCTGCTTGTGTACAAGTCTCTCCATAGCCTCGCACCAAAATATATTAGTGACATGTTAGTCCCATATGAACCAGCCCGGACTCTGAGGAGCACAGGGACTGGACTCCTGCTGGGACTCTGAGGAGCACAGGGACTGGACTCCTGTTAGTGCCCAGAGTCAGAACTAAACATGGGGAGGCTGCTTTTCAGATTAATGCTGCTAAAATCTGGAACAGTCTTCCTGAAGATGTGAGACAGGCCTCCTCTCTGACAATGTTTAAAACCAGGTTAAAGACGGTTCTGTTTAACTGTGCATACAACTGAGGGATTTTATATTTATATCTTTCTTTTTAATGTTCTGTGATAATTTATGATTTTAATGCTTTCTTGTTTTGTTCAGCACTTTGAATTGCCTTGTGTATGAATTGTGCTATATAAATAAACTTGCCTTGCCTTGCCTTGCCTTACATGGAGTTAATAATATGAGGATTCTCTCAGTTATGCAGTAACTGGGAATCATTTACCACATTTATTTTTTCCAAGACCTTTCACAAGTAAAATGTCGACACCCAGTTAAAACTCATTGACTGCCATTGACGTATTTGTCGGAGGTGAGTTCTGTAAAAACTTTGCTCTATTCGACTGGAGATTACAGGTAAACAAAACTAGCTAGAAACTAACTTATTTTTGCTGATGAAAGTACACAGTCCAGCCTTTCAGAATCTGCTTTCATATTTCACATAGTCATAGCATATAATATTCTGTGGGAATCAGTGAAATCCTCAAAAGAGGCTGGCAGTCAAGGAGTTAAAAAGGATCCAGGTATCGAATGAATTTCCAAAAAACTAAAATAATGCAAAAAAAAAAAAAAAAAAAAAAAAGCACTGGTCTTTGGACCTCATGGTCGTGGGTTCGAGCCCAGCACGCCCCATGTCACCTGCTGCCACTGATGCCTGCTGTCGTCGTGTCCCTGGGCAAGACACTTAACCCCCCACATTGCCTGAAGCCCCCGCTGAAAGAGCAAGACCATCTCGTCGATCACGGAGAAGCCATCTTCCTGTGGACCCACCGACTGCAGAGGATCTGAGGGACTGGTGCAGCTCTGTCACCCCCCCGACCCAGAAATGGAATAATAAAGGGGTACAAAATGACATGACAACTATTCTCCTGTAGAATTTATCTGGGGTCAGAGGTCAAAGAAGACAAAAAAGTAAAGAAAGCTAGTGCTGATGAAATACCACCAATAACATGTAAGCAGTACAAACTTTACTTTTTTGTCTTATTAAAAGAGCCTTCAAAATTAAGTCAACCATTTTTCCCACACTTTTTTTTTCCATCTCAATTTGCCCAGACAAATTACTACATCCGATACTTTCTACTTTTCACACCCTACCAGTCCCTTTCCATCATTCTCTCTATATATTACTAGATTTCTTCACATAAGTCTAAACAACTTTCCTTTATTCCACTCTACACATATTTCTATCTCCATATACACTCTCTATTCCAACCCCTCTCCACACTAACATCCTAAACATCCTAATAGAAACCAACTCTAAATACCACCTATAATATGCAACCCCTATAATAACCACATAAAAACCAATTCCACCTTCATTAACATCCCCCTCCACTCCCCCAGACACAAAATCATACACATTTACACACCACCCCATCACAATTCCTCACTCCAATTAACTAAATTTACAAATTTATTACCCTCCCCCACTCTTCTTCACCTCATGCTTTCCCTTATACCCAACATCCCACACCCTCATCATCCTCTCTTAATCATATCCATCCCATACCCCCCACAATCCCTCATTCCTCTTCCCCCTTAACTATCCATATTCAATATCTTCTTTCTCTCATTAACCCCCACAATACCCTTACACCCCCTTCTTAACCCATACGTCCACTTACATCTTCTATCCTACCATAAATTCCCAAACTTATCTACTTCCTCTTAAACCTACAAACTAAAACCCCACAACTACCCCCTATTTTCCCAATCTATAATCCACCCCCCTACTTCCCTCCTTCTCATATTTCTCCCCCCTCCACCTCTACACAAAACCACCCTACCACACAAACCCTAATATCTCCCAACAATCCCTTAACCACCACCCCCATTTCCCTACAAACATATATCTATACACACATTTTTAATTTCAAAAAATTTTCCCATTTAATTCATCCTGTTTAGAATTGACATTGTTATCCTTATCTTAATGCATTATCTTTATCATCCCTCTATAATGTCCATCACGCGTTATATCACGTTATAGTTAGCCTCTCCTCGTTAGCAGCACGCGTTAGCAATCACGCGTTCTCATTATGTTACTCTCCCTCTAAATCTCACGCTAACTCCTTACTATTTATCATTTACAATGTTCATCTTTCCTAATAAATCATTTTACTTACAACTACTTCCCTTTTAACCTACAAAAATTTCACCCCTCTCCACCCTTACCACCAACATCCCACCCCCAACCCCATAATACAATTATTCAATATAAAATTTTTATGATATTACAAGTTTTTTCACATCTCAATTAACAAAATTTATAATATCCCCTACCAAATCAAAAACCTTATACCCTCACTTATTACTATCATTATATTATATCCTTTCCACTTACATCACTCTCACACTCCATCGCACCACGATTTCATTATCAACGTTCTTTCTATCTACACCTACTATCCACTCCAATCAATATCCTTAGGCAGCCGTAACAACACTTGTGCGTTATGATTACGATACACCGTACTGAATTTTCTAATCAATCCATTTCCTATCCAATATTCCCCCATTATTCTCCCCCACCACCCTACCCCATATATTTCCACCATCACTTTCCATCTCCATTTCTCATTATTGTCCCTCAAACCTCATATAAACCACACCCCAACAATAACTAACATCTTCCCCCCCCACACAAAACCCATTTTCACCAACCCTCATACTAAAACCTCTTTCACATTTACCATTACCACATAAATTAACTTTCATATATCTATACCCACCTCAATTTATTCCTTAAACACCAAAACCACCCACAATACTACCAACCATAACACTATACACTACTCAACAAACAACCTATTTCTCCACACCCATATCCTCCCAAACCCTTACCCCAACCCTCCCCCAACCTCACACATCCCCGATAAATAATCAACCTCCCCAAATAAAATTCATAACTCCCCCTTTCCCTACACAACACCACCTCCACCCCTACTCCCTCATTATTTACCCCATCCACACCCCAACCTAACTAATCATAACCCCCCCCCCACCCCAACACTACCATCAAAACATCCCCACCCCCCCCCTCCCCCCAACCCCCACCCACACCCCACACCCCCCCCCCCCCAAACACTCACCCAACCCCACCACCTCAACACCACAACCCAACACCCCACCACCCCCCCCCCCCACCCACCACCCCACACACCCCCCAACCCTCTCCCCCCCCCCCTCCCCCCCAAACCCCCACCCCCCCCCCCCTCCCCCCCCCCCCCCCCCCCCCCGCCCAACCCACACCCCCACCCAATATATATATATTTAATCCCCCCCCCCCCCCCCCCCCTCCCCCCTATATCCCCCCCCCCCCCACCCCTCCCCCCCACCTTTTGTCTGGAGTCTTGGCCTGTCCTGGAGCAGATGTAGCCCAAACCGTCCCACTGCCCCCCAGAGTCAACAGTCTGTCCACAGGGGCTGATATGGCTGAGGGGGGGGTGGGGGTGGGCTCAGGGGCTTGGATTGGGGTGGGGAGTGGCGCTTCTTCCAGAGGAAAAGTGCAGAAAGCCTGTCCTGTATCTTGGACACCCTCTGCTGGGGACTGCATCGATAATTACACACAAAAAGATGCAAACTCAATTATCACATGCAAACAATTTCAAACAAATTCAGGCAAAAACAAAACCATTCCATGCAACACACTTGGGAACGGCCACATGCAGAGATCCTGTGGTTTATATCCTGAATAGGAAGAACTAACACTAAAAATCATATCTCCAACCATTGTCTCCCACTGTTTGTTATCCTTAGATATTAGACTCTGTGACGTGCCCATTGTATCATAACAATATCGTTATAGTCGTACTTTCATGCTGCAGTAAATGATGGATGGACAAAGCGCCCCCAGAGAACGCCACAGAGCACCTGCAGTACCTCCAGTGCGTCCCCGCTCTTGTGAACTTCCTTCTTGAGATCTTCCTCCGCTGGTTTGAGGTCTTGACTCTGGCATTGAGTGACAACTGGTTCCTGCGGCGGTGGTGCTTTGGCTCTGGTCTGGTCGGCTTTGGGAGGAGTCTGGGCCACGACGGGACTGACCTTGGCGATCATGGCGGCAGAGCGGGGCTTGGCAGGTCGCCCTCGCTGCACGGTCTCCCATCCCTCTGCATCTTTTTTACCTGACAAGCAATTATTCGTATGTTTTATTTATTTCAATTCAGATACGCGAGATACAAGATACTGAGGATTAGGAAAAAACATAAATTAGGTATGTTTATTAAGAGATAAGACACTATTATCCATCAAGCTAAAGAGATCTGTGTATTTTATGCATTTTCAACATCCTAATTGTCTTTTTCTGATCAAAAGGCTAATGCTGATTTATTACAAAAAAACAATCAGAAAGTGGAATTAATATCAAGTCTCTTCTGAGTTGCCTTTGGTGAAATCCAGCTTGATCTCTACCTAAACCCCAGCAGATGGAGCCACTTCAGTTTTCAGAGCTTGAGGATTGTATTTGTTTTGACCGAATAAAACCAGAAAGATACAAACTATAACATTTATACCCAAGAGAACATCTATGTGTACACTTTATACTAAACATTGAATAATGTCTGACTGAAACATTTTACTCAGCTTTGTCTATATCTAAAATAAATCACATTGGTGCGTTGTGAGAGGACCACTTTGTTTCCAACCTGGTTTCTCCACTTGTAAGACTGTAGTGTGACTGCCGTGTGATGAATGAGAATACTTCACTCTGTCCGCCCAACTGGGACCAGTATGAGAGAGGCGAGCTGCTGCCAATGAAGGTGGAGGACCTCTGGACAAAACAAACACAGGATTGTCTCAGTTTGGACTTATTGATTTTAAGTTTCAAAAATGAATTAAACATCCCAAGCTAAACATAAATAAAATAAAAGAAACCCAGATTCTTCAGTTTACCAAGCCTTCACTGAGGGGAGTTAACATTTACAATGGTCTTTTTGACAACGGACTGAAGTTTGACAGCTCTGTTAACCAACTGTTTAAATTTGTCATTGCTTGAAAGCAGTACCCAAAGTTGAGTGCACGCCGAACACCCGGAGAGGGGACTACTCTGTCAGCTGAAGGGCTCCCCATCACATGACGACCAGGGGACATCTTCCGTACCTCCCAGGCCAAAGAAGTGGGCCTTAAACAAAGGGCATTGGAACAATCATTAGTATCATCATTTCAGGTAATCACACAGAGTCACAATATAAAAAAGATTTTGGCTGTACCTATTCTGAGCATCTGTGTTCTCCAACTTCTCCTGAAGCTGAATCCAATCAATCAGAGCTTTGAAATCACGAACATAGTTGTCTAACATCATCAGCACCTCCTTAAAGAGAAATCAAGGAAGAAATACACCATTATAAAGTCGGAATATACAACACAGGGACAAGACAAACTGTTAAATAAAACCATTGGTCATGTTGGTTAAAACCTGGTCACCCCAATTTGTTACCGACTATCGATTTCACACGTCAGAAATGTGAAAGGTTTGGAATGAAAGATGGATCGACGTACCCTACACTCCACAACACTCTGGTCAGATTCACAGGTCACGTAGATCTCATCCACAGCCCTCCTCAGGTTATCAAAAAGAAAGGCCCAGTATCGAGCACGCAGGTCCACTTTCCGAGGTTGTCTGCTCTTTGAGGGGCTCTTCTCCATGCCTTTGTCCAGAGCAGAGGTACTTTTATTGTCAACTCCAGCATTCTGCACAAATCATAGAGTGAAAAGTCATAATCAAATATAGACTACTGAGGAATATGCTTTGACTTAATATCTTATTTGTATTTTAGTTTGTGCGGACACACCTTCCTGCTCCTCTGCGGGCCAGCTCTCTGGTTTTTTGAGTTGTTTTTAGATTTAGCTGTGTGAAGAACAACAACAGGGATTATGTTAAAACCAAAAGAATCAAGTTTTGTTTCTTCAAATGACAAATAATAGATTTGATGTTCTAATTCTGCCATATAACTTGAATTGAGTCAATGACCAGAGTTAATTTGAAATTTACTTCTGATAAATAGTCACTTGGTCACATCACTTTAGACTGTTTAGGCAGACATGGTATCACAATAATGACAGAGATAATAACTTATTTGGCAATTCACAATATTGAGCACACGTGCAGTTGTCTGTAGCCCTCTGCTAAGTGTATGTTTCAATATGCAACACCCGATGATTGCTCGCCCTGTTCTACATGAGTCTTTTGTGCAGACACCCGTTTACCTTCCTCTTCTTTGGTTTCCAGGGGAACACTCCATGCTATGAGGTTTCGAGCAGCACGTCCTTCCTCTGCAACAATCTTCCTAACTTTGTCATGACTATTGGAACGCTGGAAGGAGGCCTGTTAGAGGATAAATTACATTTAACATAGATTTTGAACATATAGGACAACATGCTTTTTAAGGTAGGAAGGGAACATTCAGCTGGCTCCTCTGGGTGTGGAGGAGCAGCAGCTCTATTCAGAGCTGTTAGCCTTACACCTCACACCAAATGATATATCTGTTAAATGATCTGTGTTTACAGTGTAGAATAAGCATTCATATGTGTGTCGTTTAGTATTAGCAGACTATAGCTAGTTCACTGCGCCACAGGCACAAATGACAAAAATGCTCTGACATGGTAAGAAATCTCACCTTCAGAGCATTTATAGATGTGTTCTTGCTTCTGCCACCTCCATGAGAAGAACCAGAGCTGTTACTCCCGGACCTGTCCCTGCTGCCCCCGCCCTGGCTCACCCTGGCCCCGGCGCAGCGGTACTGGCCTGCGCCCCTCCTCCGCACGTCTTTGGACATCACTGCTGCCGCTTAAACTTTACAACACAGCGCACACACGGGCGTACATAAGTCTTCTAGTCAGTGATAACAGATGAATATGTCAGACATGTTTGCTGAGGACACTCGTACGCCCAAATAGGAAGTGTCTGAGGACCCAATTTGACAGACAACAGTTTCAGCCAATAGCGTGATACCAAGCGTGACAATGGACCAATCACGGTAGAGGATTGTGGATCACAGACTGGGGACTTCCTGCTGTCTGCCATGGCAACGAATAAAAATGCACGTTATGCTTATAAATATATTACATCATTTCCATTCTCCTTTCACACATAAGATACAGAATACATGTGAAATATATTAGTAAGAAATATTTAGTCATTAATAATATATATAATCTATAATAAATGTACAAAAGTAACTTCTTTTATTGTGGAATATTCAGACGGAAACCTGAGATGAAAGTAGAAACAAAAGTAAGTTCCCCTCTGCTGCTGTACTTTTATTTTACTATTAGTTATAGCATATTTACTATCTAGTTACCATGCTAGTTACCCATTAGCACAAAAGCTGAGCCTACATGGAGCTGTGTCTTTGCTTCTCTAGCCAGAATCCAATCAAAGGTGATGTAAACATAGGGCATTTGTTGTCTTAAAAAAGTGAATTGTTGAAGTGGAAACCAAACAAGCACCTGTGGGTAGCTGCAATGGTTGACAAAGGAAAGCTAATAGTGTGGAATGGGCCTGAAGATAAGAAAGTAGGAGAGACAGTCAACAAATCTGAAAGACAAACGTGGGTGGGGTAACTTGCAGTCAACCCTGTTTTTACACACATGATGTAGAAAGCCTGAAGTATCTGTGTTTGGCTGCTAATGCTTAATTGAATTGACATGTGTCTCTTTAGATGTCCCCCTGTTTTTGGGTGGTATTGTTAATGCTCCAGCTTTCCATAAGTCTTCAGCACACTGCACAACATGGCACAAATGTCCTCCTGGAAGATGAGGTATTTATTATTTTGGCATTACTCTTTACCAATGCAAACTTGTCTTTTTCACTCACTGCTTCATGCTTTTGTTTTAGGGCACAGGAGAGATGCAGAAGCTGACCTCATCCAAGCAAAAAGAGAAAATGTTAGAAATTGTGGGGAGGATTGATAGAGATGGAGATAAACTTTTAAATGCAGGTGAAGTCTCTTGCTTGTGTCTCTTCATTCTATAATGATTGCTTTGACTCTACTCTTCAGCCAAAAATGTCTTTCTATTTAAGACATGCATTGATTGAGACGCAGTTGGGCTATTCTCGTTCTTATTTTTGTATAATTATTTGTTTAGATAGAAAGATAAATACTTTATCAATCTGTAGCAAATACAGACAACACAGCCAATAGAGAGATTCATCAAATCACAAATACAATTCTGGGTTCTTCAAAGTAGCACCTTTTGCTCTGATACTGCTTCACTCTTGGCATTCTCTGGATGAGCTTCAAGAGGTAGTGACCTGAAATGGTCTTGAAGGAGTTCCCAGAGATGCTCAGCTCTTGTTGGCCCTTTCGCCTTCAGTCTGTGGTCCAGCTCACCCCAAAACCCTCTGGACTGGGTTCAGGTCCGGTGACTGTGGAGGTCATGTGGCCCAGCCCCATCCCTCTCCTTATTGGTCAAACTGCCCTTACACAGCCTGGTGTGGGTCAATAGTCATGAAAAGAAAGAAAACTAATTGAATGAGAAAGTGTGTCCAAACCTTTGGTCTGTACTGTATTTAGAATTAAGAGTGTTTTTTCTGCAGAGGAGATGGCAGTATGGATCCAGCGTGTGTATAGAAAATATGCTCTGGAGGATGCTGCAGAGAGGTTTCCAGACTTTGACCTGGATCGAGACGGTCTAGTTTCTTGGGAGGAGTACAACATAGTGACACATGGGCACCTCATCCCTTTGGAGCCACTGTCGGATCCCTTGGATACCGTGGACGACCCAGAACAGCAATCTCTCAGAAATGTATGAACACAACACTGTGGTTTTACCACAATTTATTTTCACACTGCTATTCGAGCTTTTCAGCCCAAGGGCTTTAGTTTCCATTCATTAATTTTAGCTTCTGCCAACAAAGTAGAGAATAACAGCTAGGCTAATACTAACTTGGACAAATAAACTACTTAAAGTTAGATATTTGTGATTTCAGAAAATGCATGTTAGTTACAAGACAGTCTATAGTTAGTCTGAGCAGCCAGACCGCGTATGTCTGAAAGAAGAGGGTCTTGCTAGTCCGACTAGTCTGTGCTTACAACATGTCAAAATCTGCTATTCCTCATCATTTAAAAATCTATGAACATCTTAAAGGAGAATTTAGCTTACTTTAGAACAAGAATAATAACCGAGCAATCTTTGCTGAGAGATTCCTTTTCTAATATAAACGGTGACAAAGACAAAAAAATTAATTCAGTTCATTTCAATGCAATGTATTTTTGTGTCGGCCTGAATCACAACAGTAGTTATCGCTGAAGAAGTTGTCGATTCGCCAGCATCGATCAGAGAATCAAGCAGTTGAAACACAGGAAATGCAACAATAACAAAATCCCATCGAGCCATTGGTCCATAAGCGGCGAGTGTAAATGTCGCTTGCACCACTTAGTTGCTTCATTAATTTATGGTGGGGCTGATTTTATGATTTGTGATTTGAAGCTCCACCGACGAGAGAAGCAACGATACGACTTTGCAGACGTTGACAATAACGAAGGTCTCAATGTGACGGAGTTTTTGGCCTTCACTCATCCTTCTGAAGTGGACCGCATGGCTGTACGTAAGCGCCGTGCATAGATCCTTCCATCTCCTTACATCTAAGATTCAGATTGAGTTTATTTGCCATTTGCAGTAAAGCCACATTGGAATAACTGTGCAAGACCCAGTGTGCACTAGGGCTGGGAAAACCAAATTCATTGAACACATTTTGAGTATTAACAAAAAATAAGGTTATTGCAACAAATATTCGACAGCCCTTGATATTTGAGTAGAATCCCAGACTGTCATGCTCAGATAAATTATCCTGTTTTAGAGGTCAGAATATTGTTTTTATCCGTAGGCACAGCGCATGTGGACATACGACTGCCGGCTCCAGTTATTGTACATTTGTTTATAAGAAAAGTGAAGATGAGGGCGGCACGGTGGCTGAGTGGTTAGCTCTCTCGCTTCTCAGCAAGAAGGTCCGGGGTTTGAAGCCTGGTCGGAACAGGGCCTTTCTGAGTGGAGTTTGCATGTTCTCCCCGTGTCTATGTAGGTTTCCTCCAGGTGCTCCGGTTTCCCCTGCCACTAAAAACATGTACAATAGGTCTGTGCCTCCTGTATGACGACCCTGCTCCATCTCTGTGTGGAGTGAGAGACTAATGCCCAAAAATAACAATTGTAAACCGCTTTGACTCTGGTCTGAGAAAGGCGCTTTATAAATAAACATTACTTATTTACTTACTTTCTTGACATCTGATCTAAATAAAGAACCGGAGTTGACAGCGTTTCTTGACTACCTGCATGCACTGCCCTCTGGTGGACAAAACAATAACTGCTATTATTTTTTTGTTACATACCCAAGGGAGATATTCCAAGAATGTATTGGTCAAAACACTAATACTTTTTCGATTATATTAAAATTCTAACAAAACAATGACATTTGAATATGGTTTTTGAGCTTAAGTCCCAGCCCTAGTGTAAACCAGACAGAACAGATGCTCTTGCTACCTAATATGATCACTTTGCTTTCTTTGAAGGACTTTGCCATTGAAGATGTGTTGAATGAATATGACATGGACAAAGACAGCTTCATAAGTCTGAGAGAGTTTATTGGAAATGCCCGTGGGGATGGTAAATAAAGAAGCAACTCCACACGACTAAATGCATGACTGTGTGTTGCTTCTGTTTTTTAGGTGAGTCCGCTTCACAATGGGAAATGGAGGAGACTGTGCGTTTCAGAGACCTGTATGATTCAGACAGAGACGGGAAGTTAAACAGGGAAGAACAGCTACGATGGGTCGCACCAAATAGCTACGGTTCAGCCCGAGAAGAGGTATTAAAGTGCGTGTGATGGGTTACGATTTTAACCCAGGGATGACAGAACCCTGGTGGATATTTATAGCCACGGTTTCACAAAAAGTCAGACGTGTTTAGGAGTACACGGGACGCAATGCTGAGACCCACCTGCGTCATTTCACTCAAAGACAATCAAGCAATCAAGACAATCTAGCGCTACCGCAGGGCCTTTATCCCCACCGCTGTCAGACTGTACAATAAGTCACTTTAAAGGATCACTGTGTGAAAACCTGCACTACTATTGACACTGTTTCCAATTGACACTTGTCACTTTTGTTGCACATAATTATTGTCACTTTTATTGTACATATATCCTGCATGTAACATGTTTGCACATTTCCTCCTTTTGCACAATCTGAGTGTCTCTATCCATGACAAATGTGACATGTACATTTCTCCTCTGTGAGATAAATAAAGCACATCTTATCTTATCAATTATCTGACATTTTAAACATTAATTCATTCAACAAGAATCATCCCAAAATGACAGTTCTGTTTATAGCACTGACTTATATGTGGCTACTTACATGCAAAAGCCAGATCCTGAGAGATGTCTGAAGCTGTGCAGGGCAGTGCCTGGTTAGTACTGTGATGGGAGACCTCTGGGAACACCAGGTGCCAGAGTGGGGCGGCTACAGCTCTTGAGGTCAGTTTTTACAGCCAGAAAATAAAAAAAAAGAGTGGACCATCCTCACTCAATCAGTTCGTAGCCCAAAGTGTCAAATTGTGACTCTCAGGGCATGTTGTGGTCTGATATGCTCGCAACTTTTACATGACTCTTTCTGTTGGACACAAACACAATATATTATTTATGACACAAAATCATGTGCTGCAAAAAGTTATCAAAAACAAGTCAAACATTTTCTAAAATTTGGCAAAATGTATCTTAATTTTATAACATTCTGACTGCTCTGAAACAAGATTGGCCACCGGGACAAATTGTTTTAAGTCAGACAGAATTACTTCAAAATAAGATAAAAACCACTCGATTCAAGCATTTATCCCCTCATACAGTATTTAATTATTTTTTGCAGTGTGTAGGTACCAGGGGTAACAGTTGTGTCTTCATAATGGCTGATCCCTCTTCATCATTAACAGGCTCTTCACCTGATCAAGGAAGTGGACCGCAATGAGGACGGACTTCTGTCAGTGGCTGAAATCCTGAGAAACCAGGACACATTTATGAACAGTGAAGTTACAGACTACGGCCGTCAGTTACACACAACTCATGACGAACTTTAAACTGCTATACCGGCTCTTACAAGTATATTTTATTATATGCAAATGAATACAGATGTGGACTAATGCTCAGAAAGGTTTACTAATACCTCAAACTCAATACTTGATGTCCGTTTATTGAATACATTGTTGATTATGTGAAGGGATTTGGAATGATCGCACCAACAAAATTCCCAAAATGTATTAAACCAGTGTTATTACTTTGAAATGGCCTGTCTGGGTTTACTTTGTTGTGGTGCATTTACTATTTATGTATCTCAATTTTGTGATATTGTCGAGAAATGAAGACAAGGCAGCGACGATTGCACCTGTGCCACGGTTTATTTTGAGTCCCTTTAGATCGAAGAAAAGGAGGATATTGATGACTCATGCTTGAGATATATTTACTGCAGTAACAATGTGGTGAGTTCAGTTTTTCAGATAATACTGTTTAGCTGTAATACTCATATAACACTATACATAATATGCAGGTCAGATATCACAATATGGTAATGCTTTCAAGCAGAATTCTCCGTCACATCTTTGCTCACATTAAGCCGTGATTTTAAACATTAACAGAGGCCGGTGGTGTGTGTGACCTCAACATCTCACTAGGCTTGAGCATGAAACTGACACATCTGGTTTGACACAGTGGCTGGTAGCAACGCTGGCCACACATGAAGAGAAAGTACGTTTTTCTGCAGACCCACAAGTTAGTAAGTAAGTATTATTAACGGCTTATTAACCGAGCGCGAGGTCTGTATGGAGAAATATCAGACCTTGGCCTTAATGTACAGACCGAGCCTTAATGCACAGACCGAGCCTTAATGCACAGACCGAGCCTTAATGTACAGACCGAGCCTTAATGCACAGACCGAGCCTTAATGTACAGACCGAGCCTTAATGTACAGACCGAGCCTTAATGTACAGACCGAGCCTTAATGTACAGACCGAGCCTTAATGCACAGACCGAGCCTTAATGCACAGACCGAGCCTTAATGTACAGACCGAGCCTTAATGCACAGACCGAGCCTTAATGTACAGACCGAGCCTTAATGTACAGACCGAGCCTTAATGCACAGACCGAGCCTTAATGTACAGACCGAGCCTTAATGCACAGACCGAGCCTTAATGTACAGACCGAGCCTTAATGCACAGACCGAGCCTTAATGCACAGACCGAGCCTTAATGTACAGACCGAGCCTTAATGCACAGACCGAGCCTTAATGTACAGACCGAGCCTTAATGCACAGACCGAGCCTTAATGTACAGACCGAGCCTTAATGTACAGACCGAGCCTTAATGTACAGACCGAGCCTTAATGCACAGACCGAGCCTTAATGCACAGACCGAGCCTTAATGCACAGACCGAGCCTTAATGCACAGACCGAGCCTTAATGCACAGACCGAGCCTTAATGTACAGACCGAGCCTTAATGTACAGACCGAGCCTTAATGTACAGACCGAGCCTTAATGCACAGACCGAGCCTTAATGCACAGACCGAGCCTTAATGCACAGACCGAGCCTTAATGTACAGACCGAGCCTTAATGTACAGACCGAGCCTTAATGCACAGACCGAGCCTTAATGCACAGACCGAGCCTTAATGCACAGACCGAGCCTTAATGCACAGACCGAGCCTTAATGTACAGACCGAGCCTTAATGTACAGACCGAGCCTTAATGCACAGACCGAGCCTTAATGCACAGACCGAGCCTTAATGCACAGACCGAGCCTTAATGCACAGACCGAGCCTTAATGTACAGACCGAGCCTTAATGTACAGACCGAGCCTTAATGCACAGACCGAGCCTTAATGCACAGACCGAGCCTTAATGCACAGACCGAGCCTTAATGTACAGACCGAGCCTTAATGTACAGACCGAGCCTTAATGCACAGACCGAGCCTTAATGCACAGACCGAGCCTTAATGCACAGACCGAGCCTTAATGTACAGACCGAGCCTTAATGCACAGACCGAGCCTTAATGCACAGACCGAGCCTTAATGCACAGACCGAGCCTTAATGTACAGACCGAGCCTTAATGCACAGACCGAGCCTTAATGTACAGACCGAGCCTTAATGTACAGACCGAGCCTTAATGCACAGACCGAGCCTTAATGCACAGACCGAGCCTTAACGTAGAGACCGAGCCTTAATGTACAGACCGAGCCTTAATGTACAGACCGAGCCTTAATGTACAGACCGAGCCTTAATGCACAGACCGAGCCTTAATGTACAGACCGAGCCTTAATGTACAGGCCGAGCCTTAATGCACAGGCCGAGCCTTAATGTACAGACCGAGCCTTAATGCACAGACCGAGCCTTAATGCACAGACCGAGCCTTAACGTACAGACCGAGCCTTAATGCACAGACCGAGCCTTAATGCACAGACCGAGCCTTAATGTACAGACCGAGCCTTAACGTACAGACCGAGCCTTAATGCACAGACCGAGCCTTAATGTACAGACCGAGCCTTAATGCACAGACCGAGCCTTAATGCACAGACCGAGCCTTAATGTACAGACCGCGGCCTTAATGCACAGACCGAGCCTTAATGTACAGACCGAGCCTTAATGCACAGACCGAGCCTTAATGCACAGACCGAGCCTTAATGCACAGACCGAGCCTTAACGTAGAGACCGAGCCTTAATGCACAGACCGAGCCTTAATGTACAGACCGAGCCTTAATGCACAGACCGAGCCTTAATGTACAGACTGAGCCTTAATGCACAGACCGAGCCTTAATGTACAGACCGAGCCTTAATGTACAGACCGAGCCTTAATGTACAGACCGAGCCTTAATGTACAGACCGACCCTTAATGTACAGACCGAGCCTTAATGTACAGACCGAGCCTTAATGTACAGACCGACCCTTAATGTACAGACCGAGCCTTAATGCACAGACCGACCCTTAATGTACAGACCGAGCCTTAATGCACAGACCGAGCCTTAATGTACAGACCGAGCCTTAATGCACAGACCGAGCCTTAATGCACAGACCGAGCCTTAATGTACAGACCGAGCCTTAATGTACAGACCGAGCCTTAATGCACAGACCGAGCCTTAATGCACAGACCGAGCCTTAACGTAGAGACCGAGCCTTAATGCACAGACCGAGCCTTAATGTACAGACCGAGCCTTAATGCACAGACCGAGCCTTAATGTGCAGACCGAGCCTTATTGCACAGACCGAGCCTTAATGTACAGACCGAGCCTTAATGTACAGACCGAGCCTTAATGCACAGACCGAGCCTTAATGTACAGACCGAGCCTTAACGTACAGACCGCGGCCTTAATGTACAGACCGAGCCTTAATGTACAGACCGAGCCTTAATGCACAGACCGAGCCTTAATGTACAGACCGAGCCTTAATGCACAGACAGAGCCTTAATGTACAGACCGAGCCTTAATGCACAGACCGAGCCTTAATGTACAGACCGAGCCTTAATGTACAGACCGAGCCTTAACGTACAGACCGAGCCTTAATGCACAGACCGAGCCTTAACGTACAGACCGAGCCTTAATGCACAGACCGAGCCTTAATGTACAGACCGAGCCTTAATGTACAGACCGAGCCTTAACGTACAGACCGAGCCTTAATGCACAGACCGAGCCTTAATGTACAGACCGAGCCTTAATGCACAGACCGAGCCTTAATGCACAGACAGAGCCTTAATGTACAGACCGAGCCTTAATGCACAGACAGAGCCTTAATGTACAGACCGAGCCTTAACGTACAGACCGAGCCTTAATGCACAGACCGAGCCTTAATGTACAGACCGAGCCTTAACGTACAGACCGAGCCTTAATGCACAGACCGAGCCTTAATGCACAGACTGAGCCTTAATGCACAGACCGAGCCTTAATGTACAGACCGAGTCTTAATGCACAGACCGAGCCTTAATGTACAGACCGAGCCTTAATGCACAGACCGAGCCTTAATGTACAGACCGAGCCTTAACGTACAGACCGAGCCTTAATGTACAGACCGAGCCTTAATGCACAGACCGAGCCTTAATGCACAGACCGAGCCTTAATGTACAGACCGAGCCTTAACGTACAGACCGAGCCTCAATGTACAGACCGAGCCTTAATGCACAGACCGAGCCTTAATGTAAAGACCGAGCCTTAATGTACAGACCGAGCCTTAATGCACAGACCGAGCCTTAATGCACAGACCGAGCCTTAATGCACAGACCGAGCCTTAACGTACAGACCGAGCCTTAATGCACAGACAGAGCCTTAATGCACAGACCGAGCCTTAATGTACAGACCGAGCCTTAATGCACAGACCGAGCCTTAATGTACAGACCGAGCCTTAATGCACAGACCGAGCCTTAATGCACAGACCGAGCCTTAACGTACAGACCGAGCCTTAATGCACAGACCGAGCCTTAATGCACAGACCGAGCCTTAATGCACAGACCGAGCCTTAACGTAGAGACCGAGCCTTAATGCACAGACCGAGCCTTAATGTACAGACCGAGCCTTAATGTACAGACCGCGGCCTTAATGCACAGACCGAGCCTTAATGTACAGACCGAGCCTTAATGTACAGACCGAGCCTTAATGCACAGACCGAGCCTTAATGCACAGACCGAGCCTTAATGTACAGACCGAGCCTTAATGTACAGACCGAGCCTTAATGTACAGACCGAGCCTTAATGCACAGACCGAGCCTTAATGCACAGACCGAGCCTTAATGCACAGACCGAGCCTTAATGTACAGACCGAGCCTTAATGTACAGACCGAGCCTTAATGCACAGACCGAGCCTTAATGCACAGACCGAGCCTTAATGCACAGACCGAGCCTTAATGCACAGACCGAGCCTTAATGCACAGACCGAGCCTTAATGCACAGACCGAGCCTTAATGTACAGACCGAGCCTTAATGCACAGACCGAGCCTTAATGTACAGACCGAGCCTTAATGTACAGACCGAGCCTTAATGCACAGACCGAGCCTTAATGCACAGACCGAGCCTTAACGTAGAGACCGAGCCTTAATGTACAGACCGAG